GCCACTTTGATAATTTTTATATGCTATTGGGTTGAATAATCAAATCAGGTCGGAGGTTAGGCCGAAAACAGCATCGATTTCCTTTACTTATAATTTTATTTTATGCATTTCTGACGACTCGTTTGATCTGTACCCTGGTTACAGTGAGGAAGTGCACCGAAGTGTAGACCATCTATCTTTTTTTGTTTTTAACTATACCGCCCTTATTTGTACTGATTTTTTTTTAAATATTTAAATAAAGGTCCATTTTAACTAAATTCATCAAAAGATTTGATTTTTCTTAAGCGACAAAACTCTGACGATCTTTTAAAGATAGGCCCGTTTTAGGTTGCGTCATACTGGCCTCCCCCCTTAAAATATTTGTGATGATTAAAGATAAAAATTAGTACTATACAACGTGCAGAAAATTATTTCAAATATGTATCTAAAATATGTATCTATCTAATATATCTCAAGGTACATATTTACTTCCTTATTATTTTATAAATTAATCAAATATTTAATTTTTGTGGTATAAAATGTCGTTGATATACTATGGAAACAAAGTGTTATAGAGGGCTGGTTGTATTTACACTCTTGGCTTCCACATTGGAACCACCATTTTCTAGTTCTAATTTTAGACATTAGATTTAAAATCACTTTACTGAGAAACTTTCAGAACAAAAATTTGCAAAAATACAACTAATTGTATACATTAAGCTCTGTTTTATTAGATTCCGATTTTGGATTTTAAAACTCCTAATTTCAAAATTAGCAACCTTAAAAAAATATATATATATAGGTATTTGTATATATATATATAAAAATATATATATGTATACACGTTGGCAAAGTTTGGCCGGAAAAAAACTGGGGCACCCTGTATGATTGATCGGACTCTGTTAGTCCTCGAAATATTTGAAAAAATAACGCGTTTTATTGCCAATATTTCCAAGAGTGAATAAATCGCAACTAGGATCTCTTATTTTGTTTCGCAGGGCTTTGAAGAGCGAGGAGACGCTCTCAAGCATCAAAAAAGATGAATTTAAACAATGTGTTGAAAAGTGAAATAAAAGATTAGAGAAGTGTATTAATGCAAGTGAGGAATATTTTAAAGGGGATTGA